CTGACTTTTCCATATAACCTCAGATCTATTGGGTCTCTTCCACTTAGATTAGATTCTTCTCCCTTGTCAGTTTTGGAATCTTCATTTTTGGATCCTCTGCCCAAGTGAATTGCACTGGGGTCTCATCATATCAAAATAGTGTGCTTCCTCTAATTGCAGCAGCTAGATAGCTCTGGTATACATTTTCACATCAAGTGCAGTTTGATGTATTTTCACAAGCAAAATTAACTTTATGGGGAAATCTGAATTTTAAAATTGGCAAGAAAAATGCTAGTTCGGCAGGCTTGAGCAAAGAGGCTGATTTTTACTTTGGATGAACTCGTCAGTCCTGATGATAATTTTGTTACCATTTTCCACCTATATAAACTGCCAGCTATGACTGCATGGCAACATATGCAACAGAAATATTTGTTAGAGTCCTGGGTTGGTCCTGCTGGTTTTATAGAGTCAGGGCTGACTGCGTTGTTGAAAGTACTGACTGAGGCTGAACAGCTACATGGATTTACAATTCACATATATCAATATTGTTTACTGTTGAATAAATAGGATATACAAGGTTTCAACGAAGAATGCAATAATAAACCAGAGCACTCCATTTTGCCCAATCAATGGAGAGATTTATTATTATCTATTTTGCAAGGGGTCGTGGATCTTAGGCTATGCTTATTTCAGCAAGAATTGATATTTTAAGTATACTGTATGCCACCGTTATCCCTGATAATGGCTTAATTAAACTGGCCAATTGTTGCAGGTGCAATGCTGCTTCTCGGCAGTACCAAACAGCACCTTCCTTTGCGAAGGGGGTAATAATTCAGATAAATCTTGTGGTGAACAATCCTTTAGTACTTAAGGATACACATGTTCTTTTGAATTACCTAGCCACCTGTAAGAATTTAACACAAGGTCAATGTAATGGATTCTTTTGACTGTTAGAAGACTAATATTGCTACTTCAGAATGATGACCATACAACAGGTGGAGGATTTAATGAAACTTCTGATCTTTGAGTGGGTGGCCTTTAGACAATCTACAAATGGTTAAATATATGGATATTTGGGGTGCTTTTGCTTAAGTATATGCATAATTATTTTAATAATAGTAGCATGTTCTGTTATATACTAATACATAATGATATATACTATGCATGTAACTCACATTTTCAAAAATTGTATTTTTGTTATCTTTTTTCCTTCTCTAATAGTGCAGTTTCAATTTGTTTTTGCACAATACAATTAAAAAAAATTAAATTAGTACAATAAATTGAAAAAAATCAAGTTTTAACCATAGTCCTGTTTTAATACCTAGCCAATATTTTTTTACCTCTTATTCTGTGTTCAAAAACAAAGGGAAATGTCCACTGCAACTTCTGATGGAGATAATATCCTAACATGATTCAAATGCTGCCCAAAATATGGACTGTGATTATTTGGAGCATCATAAAAGGTTTTCCTCCAGAACTTATATAATCTTTGTAAAAATGTCCAAGTTGGCTAATGGGAAAACTAGCCTCTTATGGCCAACCGGCAGTGTCAATTAACTTTAAAAAAACTCTAGATAATAGGGGGAAAATTTTAAAAAGCAATGTTAGGCTGCCTTAAAAAGAATGGGGAAGCCATGGCTCTCCAGATGTTCGTTCATTCTTTCTTTATTACATTTATATCTCACATTTCTTCCACAAGGTGGCTACATGTGATTCCCAGGCGGTCTCTCTTCCAAGTACTGACTGGACCAAATTTGCTTTTTTTCAGCATGATGGCTGCCTCAAGTGACTTCATACCATGTCCTGGGGTAAGAATTCCAGTAGTCTTTGACCATTCACCCTTCTGACTGGGACAGGTGGAAGTGAGAGTTCATCATCTTTTGGAGGGAAACAGTCCCCTCACCTCTGCCTTAATCATATATGTTAAAAAACAGCAGCGCATTAGAAGATAGATGGCCTATAGTTGCTTTACATTTAAAATAATTCCAGAGAGGTCTTTAAAGCACATTTATTCTTAACTTGGTAGAAATGAGTGGGAAGAACCAAGGAGAAGAAAGAAAACTTGAATGAATCCAACAATTAATGTTTTATGTCACTATCCAATAATGCAGTGCAGAGTATTTCTTCTGTATTAATCTTCACTACCCTATCCTAAATAAATCCAACCTGCAATCCTAAACAAGCCAACCAGCAAGTCTCAACTGTATACAGTGAAATGTACTTCACAGTAAACAAGTTTGAATGAGGTTGTGACCTTGTTCCACTGTTTCTTGTTAATTTTATTAATGTGAGCATAAAAATATTCATAAGAGATGAAAGACTAACACAGATATTAATTGCAGACAAAATCACTGAGAAATATTTGATACAAGGTATGTATTTTTCTCAGAAAGCAACCCACTTTAAATCTTGCTTCCCAGTGTATCATATTGAGATTACACAGTACATATATCCTTTCCAGCTAACCTTTATGGGTACAAAAAAGTAAGATACAAAAATATGAAGGAAACTACTTGAGAAATGTGTTATTGTCAAATGAGAAAATGGCTGAAGCCCAGAAAAAATTAAATGTTACATGCTTGGAGAGCTTTGGTTGTTGGGCACTATAGAAAATGCATGAATGAAACACCATTACAAAGTTGAAAAGAATTGAAAAACAACAGGGAAGACATACAGAACAGATGGCTGTGCAAAAATCAATGAAGGTAACAGATGTGCATGCAAAATCATGGTACCATCCAAATGCATGGAAGTCAAACAGCAGATCCATCCCTTTACTAACCCATATTGGAAACACCACAGCACCTTGTCACTTTCTGTAAAAGATTATCCTTACATTTCAAAGGGCAGTAATGTCTTTGAAAAAACATTCTGGAATGCTCTCATGCCACTGGTAAAAACACTCTACTGTCAAGCTCATAAATGGACAAGAAATTTTATACAGCCATATTGAAAGCACTTTGGGCAAAGATGAATGATACTTTTTCAACTTCAAGGAAGAAGAGAAAAGCACCCTATCCAGGGAAATGGCTGTGTCTACTTTAGTGGAGAGTGTAGTAGTTAGGCTACAAAAGAACAAACGGAGAGGATGTGGCCCTTAAAACTTTAGCATACCAATGGGAAAGTTTGCACAATATGACAATCCACCCCCTGAATAAGCTGAGTGGCACATGCTTTTCATTAAACAACCCACAAGGCATCCAACAAATAACTGGGCTTACTGTGAATTGTTTTCTCTCTCCTTCCCCATCTTAAGGGGCCTGAATGGCCGAATCCATATTGTCTTCCCATTTCTGTTCTCAATGAAACCCAATTTTTGTTGATTTTCTCCATTTGGAGCCCTGGGTGCTTTGGAACAACTGTCACTAGCTTGTTACCCACTTTTTGCAGGTGCAGTGGAAAGTGGGGGCACAACTGTGTGCAAAATTGCTTTTTTATTTGTTTTTCTCTATCTGTTAGAGCTATGCAAGCGTGCACTTATCAAAAATTTGTAGTCTTACCTGGTTTCTGGGTTTTAAGTGTTGCACTGCCACTTCTCAGTGCCCTCCACCTTTGGGACAATTCTCAATTCTCCACCTAATGTCAGTGAGAAGTGTTTGTGCAACAATTAAAACAAAGAAAATTATCTTATTATGGGGGAAATCTACAGCCCACCCCATTTTGGTGTATTTACCTTGGTGGTTTCTTCTTGTTTGCTCATGCATTCCAACTGACAGAGAGACAGCTGACAGTTGTCAAATAGTTGAACTTTAGCCTATGTGCAGACTTGACTCATTATTCTGCTACCATTTTACAGCTGTGACTAATATAGCAGATTAGACAAAAAAAATGACAGCTGTATTTGTGCACTTACACAACTCCAAAAAACTGCCCATTCTATTTTTAAAAAAAGAATTTTGTGCATATCTGTGCTACTTTTCCTCCTTTAAAAATGGCAAACCATCAATGGTTATTCCACAAGGGTATCAGCTAAGCCGTGTTGGTGTGGCATAGGCAAGCTTGCCAAGAGTGGCAAATGATTGATGCCACTCTTGCCAAGCAGCTCCCTGCTTCACAATGAGGTCATTCTCCTGGGTTCAGATGACACATCAATCCATTGTTGGTTCAGCAACTCCTTGAACAAGTCATGGGTTGTCAGGATGGTTTAATGCCCCAACAAGCCACACTGTGAGAAGCAATCTGGGTTCAGATGATATACCACAACCCACTGTGCTTAGTTAACAATGATGGATTGCCATGTTGTGCAAACCCAGTCACTGTCTCTATGTAGCCTGTTATTTCAAAGGAAAGGCTTCTGGTGGTGCTTTCACATATGCCAACAACATGAACATGTCAGAAACAGGCAAAGTAGTATTTCAGAGTATCAACTTCTTAGATATAACAACTTCCCTAGAACAAAAAGAAAACCTGAAGATATAGATTGAATAAGGAAGAATCTGAAAAGATGAGTTAACAAAAAGAACCCTGTTTAATGTCTGCAAGACAGAACTATGTTCATTACTAATACTTATTTATATATGAATATATATAAATATTCATTATTGTTAAGAGAACATGAAGAAAATGACTATATCATGCACTAAACCAGGTAAGCAACTTCATGCCCTCTAGATGTTTTGGACTACTTATTTATTTGGGATATTTCTAGCCCGTCCAATCACTTTAGTCTCTGGACAGTTCACAGCAAAATCTATAAATACAGTGATAAATATAAATAATATACATACCCCAAACAATAATAAACTAGATATCCCATGACTGAAATAAATAAAATTAATTATTAAAATAAGTTAAACAGAACAGACTACAGTTCCTACAATCCTTAAACATTGTTCATGCTGGCTGGTGGTTGTGGGAGTTACAATCTGAACAAATTGGACAGCACCTGCCTGAAACACACATTATTGAAAACCCATCCTTCCAGAGAAGAAAGGTCTTAAGTGAAATAGGAAAATGATCCTCCTGCATAAATCAACACAATCTCTTTAGGATATCTGATCAAAGCACCATCTTATTCTTACCTGTGTCCCCATCCCCACTCTCCATTTTTACAGGTTTACTAGTTTCTGACGGAGTGTTCATTCTTGAGTCTGCATTAGAAACAAAAGATGATAATTAGGGCAGAAAAATTCTACTGACACTATCATTTCTACAAGGGTAAATATGAAATTTCACATTGATTAATGCCAGTGTACCCTCATTTAGCCACCTAAGAAATATAAAAAAGGATCTAGAAAACTACGGTACAGAAATCTCCATGGCATTGTAAAACCCTGTGTAAAAGTTACATTCAAAGAGCTAATGGGAAAAGGGATTTCATGAAGATGCTACATAAAAATGTTTTACTTCTTGCAAGCAATCATGTAAAACTGTGCTGAAAGGATGATTATTGAATTTGGCATCTTTAATGTAAAATTTGTTTTGCTAGAAACTTACCGTATTTTTCGCTCTATAAGACGCACTTTTTCCCCCTCAAAAGTAAGGGGAAATGTCTGTGCGTCTTATAGAGTGAATGTGTGTGTGCCCGACGCTCGGGACACTGCCAGCCCACCTGCACCACGTGGCACCACCTGGCCAGCACGCATTCAGCGCGCACAGCTCCACACTCCCCGGCACAGGTGAGAGCTGTGCCGCCCAGTGGGAGCGGTGCGGAGGAGGAGGAGCCGCGGGCTTTAACCCACCGGCCGCACAGAGAGACGGACTGCTCACCCCCACTGCCTGGGAAGACCTCCCACGGAGGAGGAGGAGCCGCGGGCTTTAACCCGCCGACCGCACGGAGGAACGGACTGCTCACCCCCACCGCCCAGGAAGACCTGCCGCAGCCACGCCACCGGAAGACCACAGCTGGCACACTGCCGGCCCGGCTGCGCCACGTGACACCAGTTGGTCGGCACGCGCTCGGCGCGCCCTGCTCCGCGCTTCCCCCCCCAGCACAGGTGAGAGCTGTGCCGCTCAGGGGAAGCGGTGCGGAGGAGGAGGAGCCACGGGCTTTAACCCGCCGGCCGCATGGAGGAACGGACTGCTCACCCCCACCGCCCAGGAAGACCTGCCGCTGCTGCCGCACCGCCCAGAAGACCACCTCCGGCACGCTGCTGGGCCGGTTGTACCACACCTGGCCAGCTCGCACTCGGCACGCCCTGCTCCGCCCACCTCCTCCGGCGCAGGTGAGAGCTGTTAATCACAGGTCGGTGTGTGTTTTCAAATGGCAACCCGTCTTTGAATGAAGCCCATGGGGAAGTGATGGGGAATGTGCCTGTGATTATCAGGAAGCTTTCCATGGATCCCTCCTCTAAAAACTAGGTGCGTCTTATGGTCAGGTGCATTTTATAGAGCGAAAAATACGGTAGTTCAATTCTTCAAAGTTCTGTTTGGACTTCTCTGCTTCTCCCAATATGATTCACCCTTTTAGTGCTTGCACTAGTGATGCCTAGCCCTTTCAGAACAGGGCTATGACATCTACCTTCTGCCATAGCATGATTTCATCACTATGTCAAGTTGAATACACTGCTGCATGACACTGTTTAGGAAATAATTCTTTACAACACATTCAAAACAGTTTTTTTTTAATTTATTGAAAACTTTTCCATCCCATCCTATACATAAAAGTCTCAGGACGGTCCAACAACAAAACCACAGCAGCACATCCATAATAAAAGTCCGATTAAAAATGGAAATTAGGTCTTAAAATAATGGGAAAACAAAATGGCTTTGGCCGGGCACTGAAAAGAATAAAGTGTCGGTGCCAGGCGCACATCTCTGGGAAACATGTTCCACAACTGGAGTGCTACCGCAAAGAAGGTCCTTCTCCAGGAAGTCACTCTCCTAATCTCCTTCAAAGAGGGCTCCCAAAGAAGGACCTCCGACCCAGTATAGCTACATTATTGACCCAGTTTACACAACATTAATAATCCACTGTCTATGTCAAAAATGCAGTGGGTGCAAGCACATATGCTGCTTTCTATCCACTCCCACTGCACTAAATAACCCAAGGATGCCTGATTCCTGGGATGTTCATCATGATGTCTGAAGCCAGAATTTGGATTGGTGGGAGGACAAAACCTCTAGAGTTTGAATCTACTGCTTATTGTAGCAAGAGCAAGCAAGCTGCTAGGAAATCCATGCACATGGCTTCTAGTCATTCAATGCTACGCATGCTTTAAACAATGGGTAGTCATGTGAACCAGGCCATTTGGCAATGACAAATACAAGGAAATCACCAAGAAAGAGCAATGCACTATTTACAAGATGTAGTGCTGGTAAAAGGGGAGGTAGAACACATCTGCAAAGACTTCTGCAGTTTTGGAACAGACTGAAAAGGAGAAAAAATAATGACAAAAATGTTTCAAGCTGCTGAGAACAATTTTGTCAGAGCCCTACTATTATCATTTATCAAGTGGAACACTATTGTTAAACTGATTCAATCATTTTGGTCATATTAGTATCTAATTTCTTTCTGTAGTGGAAACAATACTTGTTAGTATAGTACTGAAGAATCCCATTGTTACAGCAGATTTATTCTCAAAGCCCTGCATCCTTGCACCTTGTTTCTGTACCTGTTCACAACTACTCCCCTGTATTACTTTTAGAGGATCAGGCGTAAGAAGGAAATCATCCTAATTGCAAAAACAATGGGGGAAACTCCCTCCCATTAAGATATACATACCATCCAAAGTAATGAAATGCGGAACAACATCTCACACACTTTCCCAACCTGTTGATGCCCAAATGTTTTGGTCTTAATTCCCATGATCCCCAGCCAGCAAGGCCAAGAGTCAGGAAAGCTGGAAGTAATTCAAAGCATCTGGAGAGCAGCTTGGAAAGTTACTGTTTAAGTAGATTTTCCCATCATGGATATTCATTAAGGTGATGGCTCCCAATTATGGCACTTTAGTTAACTATCTGCATGAAAGTGGTGGAAAATCTCACAACACACACCCCTCAGCTTATTTGAATATTTGTCTAGTCTTCTCTAAAAGTTACTAAAGGAAACAAGAAACAGCTTTAGAGAAGGTACAAAAAATGTTTCCATTCTAGGTGAACAGATATCCTCAGAAGTAAGGTGGCTGGACACCAATCAGTACTAGAACTACAGTCAATATTTACCAACAAAACATGCAGATCCAAGTATGAAAGATTGGTGAGGTAGCTATGTAGCAGATGAACAACACTTTCCATCCTCGGAGTACACAACGAAAAGGAAAAAAATGGGCAAAGACAGGCTCAAGAATACAGAAGAGCACAATCGGTAAAGAGGAGAAAAGCTGCAGAAGTGAAGTTATTCTTCAGAAAATTGAATAAATTAATTCAATATAGCCAAAATATTTTCTTCTCTATCACATTTATAATACAGCCAGTTCAAGCAACAATGTATTTCATATTCCTAAGAAAGTATTCATGCAGACAGTTATTAGGAAGCTATTAGTTGTTATACTTTGGGCACATCATGAGAAGGGGAAACTGCCTGGAGAAGACAATCATGCTAGGAAAAGTTGAAGGCAGAAGAAGAAAAGACCAAATATAAGATAAATTGAATCCTAAAGGAAGCCACAGCCTTGAATTTACAAGAAAATTGATATTGTGGAGGACTATCATTCATAGCACTACCAAAAGTTGGAGACTTTTTTTTTCCAGCTTTGTTCACAGTTAACCATAAGTTATCCTGGAAGTCATTTGCTTCATTATAGCATGACAAAACCTTTTGTCTAGGTACCCCCAGATTTACAGATCATACTTTTCCCTGTTAAAGCTAACTTATTAGCTTTCAGAAACAAAGCATTTGGAAATGCAAACTGAAAATGAAGAATACTGTTGTATTCTTTAAAATTAAGGTTGGAGTAGAGTTAAAGTATAAGGGGTGCATGTTTGTCAAAGGTAAGGATAACATGTGAGCTATTTAACAGGGAGTCTTAAGAAAGTAATGTATTTGTCACATCCTACTTCTGAAAGTCATTTGCGTCAGTCCAGCCTTTGGCAAGAAGGAGAGATGACTTCAGCAGCTACTGCTCTGCCGACAACACTGAATCTGTTCCTGTTGCATCATGAATGCCGTTATCTACACAATAGAAAGACATATGTCTATGTAACCTCCAGTATACAAAAAATTGTCCAAGGTATTCCCCAACTTTATGAAGCTAATAATTTTTTACACAAGACCACCTTCTTGATGGTTATCATCTTGAAGAGTAATGGAAAGATCAGTACTAGGTTTGTGGTTTTATTTCTTTCCCTAACATGAATACATACATGCTATCAACTCAAATGGAAAATACTTGTAGAATAAATGCTAAAGCTACAAAACAGCCAATGTCTAAGCACATTATTTTAATTTTCAGAAGTCCATCTGATACCTTTTCAAAAAGGTTACACTACAGCTCTTATTATTTAAAAAGTGTTGAATATGTGTGTGCAGTTCGGTCTTCAGAAGCAAGATTGGGGTGACACATCCTCCAATGTATCTTTAACGTTATAAGGAGCTATAGTTGGTGTGCTATCATCTCATAATGATTCTTTAAACTGAGAGGGCAATCTTATTTTCTCACATTATCTATGACTCAGTTGTCAGAAAAACAAATAATACTTAAAGCAGTATGACAGACTGCTGTAGTGATATGTACATCAATATATAATGATAGTCAGAAGCTTAAGGGGACTTTTTTTAAAGAATTGAACAAATTCATGGAAGACAGGTCAAATAATTCCTATGAGCCAAATGGAACTGCCATGTACAGAGGCAGTATACTTCTGAATACCAAGTGCAAGGGTCAAACAACAAGGCTCATGTTCCACTTATGAACACCCAAATATATCTGGCTAACCAATATTGTAAACTAAGTCGAAATCTGATCATGTTCAGCAAGAGAATTCCTGTGATACAGACCCCACTGAAAGGTGAATGCATAAGTACTTGATTTATAATGATAATACATAAGTACTAACAGGCAAAATTCACTTTGTAAAATGTAGGAAGTTATCTACACAGCATATAAGTAACTTGTTTGGCAGATAATAAGATAAATGTTCTCCTTTGCATTTTGTGCCAAAGAACATGTCCCCCACCTCCTTCCCGCTCCCTCTCAAGCAGTATAACACTTGATTTATAATGATAATGCTAAAACACTGCCATAACCTAAAGTACACATATTAAAATGAAGCAAGGGACCGAAAGCCCCAGGTGCAGCACTGAAGTCACATTCGGATGAGCTTCAAGATTCATTCTTATTAGTCTTGTAACAGATCTTCAATGACCCAAAGCCAGATAGTCACTGAACCATCAGCATTTCAAAATAGATAGTAATGGGACAGAGTAGGGGGAATGTATCTGCTGGACTGGACAAACTTATATATCCAACTACTGTTCCTCAAACTCTCAGTTGAAGGTGTGCCATTACAGTCATCAGAAGCATAAAGATGCATTACTATGGGTAAGGTGAAATTCCTCTATACAGCACTGTAACAAAACTGGCCGTTACAAAACTGAAATCAACTATGCAAGGAGAAACTACATATCTTGAAGTTAACCCTTCAGAAAGCATCCAGTTTGCATCCCCTTCATTTAAAATTGCATTATCTAAATCCTTTAATTATCTAAAAATTGAAGAACACAATTTGAACAATGTAAAAAACAACAACAGATTAACTTAAAGTGGATTTTAAAAGAGCAAAAAATATAAACAGAGCTTGCTGTTTGCAGGGGCTCAACTAGATGGACATACTAGTAGCCAGAACACACACTATTTGGACTGGTATCAGAAGTAGTGGTTGCTAGTAGGGCTTGCTTGCCCTTAAACATTGAACAGTGTGTCTTTTTATCAGCTACACCCACACAAACACGCTAAACATACTACACAGGATAAATTAAATCCGTCTCCCACCTCCCCAATGCTATATGATATAAAAACAGACAACAGTGCAAGCCTTCCCGTCTGTCAAAGTCAATGCTTTTAAGATTAAAATCCTAAAAGCTTCCACATCAAATATCATTGAAGCTGAAGAACAACTCCATTTTTTCCAAAGCTGAGCAGCAAGATTTCCTTCAACACAGAAAAAATGAAGAACAGAGGAGGCACTTGCTATTGAATTACTGATGCTCCTCAGCCTTTCAAATGCCTCCCTCAGTACTGCATATGGATCATGCGTCTATGCATAGTCAATTTCAACAACCACTATTTCCATATTAAACGCTTGTAAGAGTCAGTTGAACTGGTACCCACCTAGAACGTAGTCACTACAGTCCAGCATTGCTGTGCAATCCTCTGCAGATTCAGGTACTCCAAGGAAGTGGTGGGGAAGAAGGCTTTCTAAAATAAAAACCTACGCTACTATTCTTAACAGAACAAGAAAAGGAGGGGGCAGGGATAGGAGAGAAATGCAACTTCAGTTATACCATAGCAATCTTCAACTGAACAGAGAAACTTCAGTTGCTGTGTAGAGTTTTAGTCTCTCCTACTAGCTGTGTCTGACATTGTCAAGGCGACTGAAGCATGAAAAGTTCCCCTTTTTTTTAATAAAATAGAAACAAAGATTGCAGCTGGCAGTTTCCATAATGAAGCTTAATCAGTATGCGCCTGATTAGGGCCTTATGCAAATCTCCCCTCGTTAGCACAGCAGCCAGCACTTTGAAGTCCATGAACAATTCATTTGCAGAGTACACTGAAAGCGCTCCCTGCATAATTTAAATCATGATATAAATATTTATCAGCTCATTTGCATATTAATTGGCAGTGCATGAAGGGAAAAATTATCTCCCAAGTGCCAGCATAATAATTAGGGAACAAAATGAAATTTCTTCCAATAGCTTTGCTTCTCAGACCTAACTTGAGCACAGTACCATGGGGAAGCAGGGAGGGGAACAAGGCAAGACAAAATTCTGTTAAAATGCCACTGAAATGACACGTACAAATTAGAAACAACTCTACAGACTTAAGCACCTTTAATCTTATTCCTGCTGGCAACAATGACTTTAGTAATAAAGGAGATTTGGAAAAGCTTTCTACACAATCCAAATAATCCCAAGAAAACAATTAGCAAGGTAGGAGCTGAACACAGACCTGTCTAACTTCTACTTGTATATTACTGTGAATTTTTCCAAATGTGTTGTATCTGACAGTTTAGGATTCCACAAAAAGAAAATTTCATAGAGGGAGAAGTAAGAAAACATTTAGGTAGTGCAAAACAGGGATGCATGTTGGTTGGTACTCTAGTAAATAAAATATGAATAATTCTCGCTGCCCTAATGGTTTCAAATGAAGTTGCTTTTATGTAGAAATATTGACACCTTTTATAAGCATCTGCATAGGTAAACAATATTTATTTCTAAATGTTCTCAAGCAGACTAACTTTTCTTGGGTTATCAGGGCTCCTCAGAAGGCCTTGTGTGTGTGTGTGTACACACAATACACACACACACACAATACAATATATATATTGTATAACAGTGTAAATTGAGACCAATCAGTTAGAAGGCAACTACTATAAAGGAAAGTGATGACCATTTGAGGACCTCTTTCTCACAAAATGAATTTATACATTGCTGAAATATATGCATCTATAAATTAGCCTTTATAAAAACCCATTTAAAGTATGCATCCCCCCAAACAGATGAACAGAACAAGAAACTGGACTACATCCTGTGTTATATGAGAGGAATTCCCTTTCTGTTCCCCTTACACACACCCCATCTGCTTTGGATGTGATTTTGGGGGAATTCAGAGCACTGAAGTAGGAAGGAGAATCTATCCCTCCAGTGGATGATGGGTGACCATCATAGGGTAAAATTTATATTGTACATTCTAGTCACTCTTCAGAAACCAAGAGTGCTGTCAGCTGCTGGGCTCAGCACTCTCTGATGTGAAGGAGTATTATGAGAGCAATCCTATAGGCCTTAGGCAAGTGTCCAAGGTTCCATAGGATTGTTCAGTTTCCCCTTCCAAGGTCAGAAACAGCCCCCAAGCCCCAGAAAGCTGAATCAGAAACCCACCTGCCTCACCTACTCCCTCAATCCTGGAGAATAAGAAATGGAGGTTTTCTAGTGGAAGCGAGAAGAGATCAGAGGCCTAGTTATGAGTCATTCTGAGCTCTTCTTCCCTTCCCTCTGAAGTTTCCTTGGGCTAACAAGCTAACAACCTTACCAAGCGAAGTCTGCAGGGTGGGAGGACTTGGAAGCAAAGATCACCTCTGTTGCAGCCTTCATTGGGAGACTTAATACTTCAGAGTTAGGAAGTCAATGATCACAGAAGAATACAATCAGTAGGATCATGTCCACAACGCTAATAGGAGGTGCGGGGAGTTTCCTTAAACCACTGAAATCAGTTCTTTCATCAAAAAATGAAGTTGCTACAGTTGTGTTTTGCAGATTCCTAAATTTATTTTAACTGGAAGTCTGCAGCCAAATAATTGGCTGATTAATTCAAATTATTCTGAAAGTCAACACACACATACACACCAAGGTTGTTTTTAACCTTTATTGCTCCCTTACAATTGCCAGATCATAATACTAGAGTGATCACAAAAAGCATAGCTATAGCAAAATCCCACAAATCATAGGAAATACACCAGTCCTGTCAGGCACAGATGCTCCCTTGGCTCCATAGCGCACAATCCCCAAACTTCCCATATCTTGTTATCAGGCTGTTTTGCACAGTCAATTAAGTGGGACCACCTTTTGCATGAATTAAAACATTTTAATCAAAATAGACACCACACATATCAACACAAGCGCTTACAAATGCCATAGATGTCAGGCACCATCCAAGAAAAGCAGCAGCACTGCCTCTCTTCTCTCACCAGGAAAAAATGCACCATGAAGATAGTGCCTGATAAACAGATGTGTATCACCTGAAAATAAAGTATACTGTTTTCTTCAAAACATTTCACTTTTATGCAAATATATGCATATTTAATCTATTAAAACTCATATAATTGGACGGTATACAAATTTTATAAATAAATATAGTTAAGATTTATTTAATCAGGTAACAAAACTACTTTCTAGTACTCGTGTCCTACATTAGATTTTCACCCAGTTCTACTGCCTTGTCTTCTCTCTACTCTCACTTTTTCTTATTTTAGATCCCTATTTTTCAGCCTCTGCTCCATGTTTTTACTTGTCTAGCATTTTGGCCAATTTAGCTACCATGCCTGTCTTTCATTAGCATACGGCACTTTGTGCTGAGCTCCCAATCACCTGCATTTATTTATATTATTTATTAAAAGCTTTTCTATACTGTCCTTCACTGAGACCCAGGACAGTAAGACAATAAAAGCACAGCATCAACCATCAATTGACAACAAATAAAACCCATCTTTAAAACAACGTCAACACATTTGTGACTCACACCCCTCTCTGGCAGTTTCCCAGTTCACTACCTAATCTGCATCTTTCCTTCGGCCACCTCGCCTGAGTTCTGTTGTTCAGCTTTCCTTCCAAGCTGGCTCCTCTTCTCTCTACATGGAGCCTTATTTCTAGTCAACCCAATGATTTCTTCTTCCTTTGATAACTGCAAACTATGAATGAAATATTGGTAAATATATTGTGCCCTGACATCCATTCTGCCTAGTGAGTGAAAAAGTTTCATTCCCACACATGCAGTATTATGTATTCATTCTACTATTTGTTTTTAAAATGCAGGTTGTACTGTGGACAAAAAATAGAGACATTTTAGCACATATCTCTGGCCATC